GTGGGGGAAGGAGCGTCGAAAGGGAATGAAGTTTGGGAAAGGACGAGGTAGAAGTTGAAGGTTTTTTTTTTAAGCTACAGAGAATAGCGACACGAGATTGGGGCATTGGAAGGTAGTACAGTTAGATCCCGCCCCGCGAGGAGCCGCAATGATCCCTCTCCTGCCGTCAAAGGACATGGGTTTGGGAGGTGGTTTTGAGGGTGTTGATGGGGATCGATTTGGGCGCACAAGGTTTGTCCCGACTATGAAACATTTGGCCCGCGTCCGAGCGCCACACCCCGACTCGATCCCAAAGGTAGGGGCAATCCTCGTGCTGACGTACAAACGAAGCACAACGACATACGCCAGCAGACCAAGTCCCGCCAACACAACCGACCCGCAGGTCCCACCGCCGCTCCAAAATGCTCCACAATTCTCACCATAACCAATCAATTTTTTTTTATTTAAATTTTTTCCCCCGCCTGTAACATCATCATTTTTTTATTTAATTTTAAATAATATATCTCTCTCAATTTATTAAATTATTAATTACAAAATAACTAACTAATTAATTACAGCCCTGTCTTTTGTTGCATTTCATTGTTTTTTTGTTATTTTGTTTCGAGTTTGTGAAAAAAAAGATAATAGTCTCATGGAGCAGACGAGAGCCGCAAACGAGCCCCAAGGCATTCCATATCAGGAGCGCCAAGCTCCGCGCTGCATACACAGCGGAGGAGCTCCATTCAAGAGCTTCGAGAGCTCCCATCACTGAGCGCCCATGACAAAGCGCAGGCATCTGAAGCTCCCCCCCGAGCAGAGAAGGCATTGCAGGCCATATGCTCCAGAATGCAGGTACCGCAAATGAAAACCCCCGATGAGATATATAAGTGCTAGCAGGCAGCTCATACCCGATCTCCATCCGGAAGTCCAAGCTAGATGCTCGGGCTCCAAAGCTCCAAAGCTGCTTGCTAGCGAGACACTCAGCTCAGTGAGAAGGACTTCCATGATTAAGAGAAGAGCTAAGAGTAGTCCATAGCTAGAGCTCCAAACGAGCCATGTTCCTGAGCAGGGAGTGATGAAAGTTGAGGATTTTTGGGTTTGAAGTGTTTAGCACAGTGTTAGGGGCCTTTGTCTGGAGTGTTCCGACATGAAAGGCGACCCGGGGCTTACCCTAACACCCCAAAGACCTCGGTGCCATGCAGAGGCACCAACATTCAAGTTGGGGTAGAAAACGAATGGTGGGGTTTGGGGGGTGTTGGGGGGGTGTGGCAGTACGGAGGTCTCGAATGGGAGGATGATGAATTAAAATAAGTTTATAATGTATATGAGTGGTTTTTTTACAATGTATATCAAAAGGATTATAGATTCTAAGAATATAAAAAAAATGGAAAAAAGTGAAAAAGTAAAAAGAAGATGTATAAGGGGGATAATATATTGGAATTTATAGGTGTTATAAGAAATATATATATAATTGTATTAGTGAAGGTTAAAATAAAATAAATAACTAAAAAAAGAAAACAAAAAGAAAAAGAAAATAAAAAATTAATTTAAAACCAAAAAAATGGAGGAAAAATATTTGGAAAAAATAAAAAAAATAAAAATAAATGATAAATAATAAAAGTAAATATAAAAAAAAAAAAAAAATAATTAAATCAAAAATATATGAAAAGATAAATCAGTATAAAAAAATAAAAAAAAAAAAAAATAATAAAAAAAAAAAAAATTTATAAAATGAAAATATAAAAAATAATTAAAAAAAAAAAATAAAAATAAAATTCAAAAAAAAGGAAAGAGTCATAAAAAAAAAAATTCATTGAAAAAAAATGTAATAAATAAAAAGTAATAAAAAAAAAAATATTTATAAAAAAACAAAAAAGTCATTATCATTTAATTTTTTTTAATTTTTTTTTTTAAATATGTTTTATATTATTAATAACATTCCAGAAATATTGAGAAATTGAGTAATTAATAATTAGAAATTGAGAGGAGATGGGACATAAATGTAGGAAAAAAGAAACGATTTGTATCTTAGTGGTTGCACTTTTTTGCCATGCAACAATGGAATGAGAATGAAGGGACAGACTGTGGTTTTGCATTTATTTTTGCACATTAAGTAAATTGAGAACCACTGGATGAGAAGACTGCGTGTTGCAAACATTGATGAGAAAAAAGAAAGATGTAGAAGGAAGGACCGTCAGGGACAAGTTGAAAGAAGAGGCAGGAGGACTAAGGGATGGTTTTTGTCTTGGATAGGATGATGTGCTCTGCAAGGAGGAGGATTCAGGAAGAATAAAGCAAAGGTTCCAGGGGATTTTGTCCTGGATTAGTTGAAATGTCTATGTTATAATAATGCCCTACAGAACTCCAGAGAGCTGTAGAGTAGTGCTTTCTGTGGCCTGTGGTGAGATGGCTCTTGAGTTTTGTCCTGTCCTCTCTTCTATGAGGAAAGCGAAAGCATAAAAACAAAAAGGGGAAATAGCATAATTGAATAGTATAGTTAGAGTTAGTAACAACCAAAATGGTACCAGTTACAGTGAAGTTGAATTTTTGTGTCTAGTAAAATGTCAATATGATTTAGAAGAAGGGATGAATAGCATCCCTTTGCATGGAACTGAAAAGTCAAAGAGTTCCCTAAATTTTATAAGCAGCAAACACCAGAGACAAATTTTAATTCTGATGTTGCTTTGTTCATTTTGAACTTCTTTCCTTAATATCGATCCAACTGACTTTGGGTTACCTAAATTTAGGGAGTGATAGGGTGACTATACATGCTGTACTCTGATTACTAATGAGTTAATCTCCTACCTAAGTGAAAGCCTTCGATTTTTCATTTGTATGATGAAGATAAAAGTATTTGTCTTATGTGATTGTTTTGCCTTAAAGTTTACATGAGGTAGATGTTTTTAAATTTTCTGACACTTGAAACTTAGTTAATAAATGTTAAATTCTCCATTTCCCTGTGTTTATATTAAATGTTTGTAAGAATCCAATGAATGTACTATATAATGAGAATGGAGAGCTTTGGATGTGAGTTATTCTTTTGCAATTAAATCTGTGGTCAGGTTCATATTTCCCTAAGCTATTTTATAAACTCGATTTTAAATTTCTCAAAGGATAGAAACTATAGTTTTGCTTCTCATTGAACTCTGTAGCACCATTTAGAGTATTGCAAAATGCATTATGCTAATGTTTGTTCAGCTTATGGCCATTAGAATATTGCCTAAGAATTCTGACCTGTTCACCCATCAACCATTATCCTTGTAAAAGTCAATAGCAGAAACATTTGAGTAAATCACTAACTGTATTGGAAGCAGAATCAAAATGATGGATCATCTAAGTATAACTTTCCAACAGTTATATTTGAGTAGAGCTTTGTGTGTAGACCAAGATAGATAAATCAGCTCACATTTGTATAATATCCATCAATTTATTGTGTAACTGGACTCTATCTACTGTATTCTTTTAAATGACCTAGGTATGTGTGTGGTCTATTATTATATAATATAATCCACTCCTTGGATGCCTTTGTATGTATTCAGTGCTTCCTGTTGACTTCTTCATGACTAGTTCATTGTTTTTATTGCTTGTCTAATTTTATATGAGAGGCAGAGAATAAACTGCCATTTTCTGGTTCGCTCACTAACTGCTCACAATGACTGGGGCTGGACAGGGTTTTGGCGAGGATTCAGTAATACAATCAACATTCCATGTAGATGGTGGAAACCCGCTTCCATATACCATCACCTGGATCTGTATTGGCAGGAAACTGGGGTTCAGGAACTGGAGCATAGAATCAAACAGGCACTCAGAGGTGGGATACAACTTCCTCCTTGCTAAGCTAAACAGCTGCTCCTAGTGATAAATTTTAAGGAAATAAACAAAGCAAAAAGGGAGAGAATAGAGAAAGAGAATGGAATCTATGGAAAGGAGGATAAAGGCAGTGGGTAAGGGGTGGAGAGCTGCTAAGTAACAGGAAAACCTATGCGTCATATAATGGATCTGTTATGAGCCATTATTTACAGATTGGCTTTCATTTTTAATTACTATCTTTTTGAAACCTTTATAGCTGTGACATACTTAATGCTGCAATTTTCAAGGTACCTTGAAAGGGTGATTTAAAAGTAATATCATCCAAACAAGGATAATTCTGGGAATGAAATTTTTAATACCTTTTAACATAAAAACAAAACACATTATAAAAATTTTCAGTGCTGTTCTAAATCTTCCTTTTAGCTTCAGGATTTCTGGTTGCAGCGCTGGTCTTTTTTAATGTGCTGTTAAATCTGACATTTAATGGACTATTCTCAGGAGGTAGATTTTAACCATCTACTGATAAGAAATATATAACTGAAAGCTCAATGATACGCCCTAAAACATTGCAAAATAGAAAAACGACATGAGAGATATTTTAAGATTTTAGATTCTGTCTTCTGATTAAGCTTCCTGGATGGTTCTGTTTTGAACAAGGTCAGAAGTCATCAAATCTAGGGCCTGGTTGCTTGCACAGAAATTGTCTTCAGGCTATAGGAGAGATATGCTTCTAATTCCTGTGGTTTTGTTTAATGTTGCTTTGTAAATCAACTATGTATATTTTATGCAAATTTAAGCAAATAAAAATATGATCTGTGTGTATTTTTCCTTTATGTTTTGAGGTACAGAAAAATATTACAGGGCTTAGTAATGGGAACATTTATATCTGATTGTGTGAATGTTTAACAAAGGCCGTCAAATACAAGAATATTTGTGCAGGTCACTTTTACTCTTTTCTGCCACTAATTTGCACCACTTAATTGAAGGATCAAAACATGTGTTGTAGTCCTGTGAATATAAAGAATATAAATATACATGAATATACATATAAAGAATAGAATGAAGTATTTAAGTTTTCTTCATTTTTCCTAAATGTTATTTGTAAGGAATGCATTTTAAGACGTGGGTAGAGTTAGCAAGAAAAACTGTTTACTTACTGTTCTCCCTTTTTCATCTGCTTGTTTATTTGTGTTTTTTAAATTAAATTTCAGAGGGCTGCTGAAGTATCAAGCTAATTTAGATACCCACCCTCCTGGCTGCATCAACCTTAACAGGACTCCCTCTCAAGACATTTCCTTACCAGTGCAGCACTCAGAACATTTGCATGAACCTGTCTTGGGAGGATTTTCAAAACCAGAAGTACTTGCTCAAAACATCTCTGTGAACATTTGTGTGGAAGAGCCCAGGTTCCAAGCTAATTTTCCACAGGTCAGATTTATTCTATGTTTGATTCCTCTAAGTTCTGTGCCTTCTTGCAGTTGAATGTTAAAATAAAGCATGTTCTTGATGCTGTTTCATGTGTGATACTATATCTGAGGTTATAACGTACTCTGTTGTTCTGTGATTATAGTTTCCTGAGATTTCAAAAAAAAAAAGACCCAAGTTATTACAGAATATATAAGCAGGAAATTTGTGCTTGACAGATGATCTTTGCATACTATGCATACGATGGCCTTGCCATTTGCTACCATAGAGATTACAGACTTCCAATCCACTGGGACAGGCACGTTGAGGGGTAACCATTGTAGCACAGCATGCTACACTTCGGACATCCGCATGGCATATCAGAGTGCTTGGAATTGAGTCCCATCTCTCCTTGGTATCTAGTTTGTTACTAATGCACTTTGTGGAAGTAGGTGATAACCCAAGCGATGTGGAAGACTTAGACGGATTTACTTGCCTTTGGTTTCAGACTGGCCCCGTCTTGGCTAATGTGGCTATCTGGGGATTCAAACAGAAGAGGGACAACCTCTCTGCTGGTCTATCCCTTTCTCTGTCACTCTGCCTTAAATTAAAGTAACTTTAAGAAGAAAGACATGTTTAATAGTTGACACAATAATATCAAGTATTATGTGATTTTGCATTAAAATATCATAATATTATAACTAATAAAAATGATAAAGCCAGTTTATTGAATGCTTAATATCTGCTTGACCCTGTGCTAAAAAATTCTGCATGTGAAATTTCCTCCAGTATATGCAGTGGAAGCATTCTCAATGTTCTGCTGAATACTTTGACTAAATTCTTTGTTGAGCTTGTAAACCATAGAGATATTGTACAAACTTTGGGTTTTGGCTAAAATGGTTGCTCTTGGAAAATTCTTCCTTCAGGTACCCAACAAATAGTTTAGTAAATGGGAATTATCCACATGTATGTTACACCCTGTACCATTAGTACCAGGTAGAAAAAAGGAACAATGTTGTCAGAAATCTGTTTTAGAAAGAAATGAAAGAGAAGTAAAAAGCTAGACTGATTTTGAAGATTACTTTGGAATAAATACATTAACATGGTATTAGTGTAAGAGTAGCTAGTACTTAGTTATTATGTATTACTAATTATTAGCAACATACAATTTTAGTAATATGCCATTTACTAAAATTACTAATTAATAATTACATGTTAAATATCACATAAATATTTCATCATTAAGTAATAATCTGCTATTATTAATTATTACAATAGATATCTGTTAGACTTACAGTTTTTAAAAGTTTCCTGAATTTCATATGAAGGGAAAATATGGTGACCCCATTTACTTATGAGGGACCTCATGATTCTGAATCCCACATTTTTGCCATACTTACCCTTCACACAAAGTTTGACTATGTGTTATCTGAATGGAAAGTAGGCTGTTTAAACGGTGATGGAAATAAGATTTTAAAAAGTGACCATTAAAATGAATTTCAGTGGGAGGCCTTAGGGAGATGAGAGAGGTATAGACTGAGGCTCAGTCACTTCTCAAAGCACAGTATCTTGGCTCAGAGCCAGGAAAGAAAGAGTCATTCAAAACTGTTAGTTGTTCAATTCTAAATGGTATTTCTGCTCATATTGTAAAAGCAGGTGAACAGCACACCTAGACTACACCATTTCAAAATATTTGCATGTACATACCTGATATATACACATATATTATGCATGGATATCTTGAGCATTAAGACATCTAAGGTTTTCTTTCCTAAATAAAGAGCAAGACAAGGACTCTTTTTTCTAAAATCATGGCCACATTAGTTTGAGCTTTATAACTGCTTTTTTTTCTCTCTAATTAAATATATTGTGAACATACATTATCTGTTCCTGTTCATATAGGGTATGTGAAAGAATGAAACCTTAAGAGTTACTGTTAATTGGCCTGGGTGTGAAGGTGGGGGATGGAATTCCTTCTCTCTTATAGTTTTCTTTGATTTGCAGTGTCATTAATGTCTAACTCATGTTTCTTTTTATTGCCTAAAATACCAATATTTTTTTTACTGAAATGTGTAATTTAAGCCGTCTGTCTGGATAAATAGTCCTATAAAATAAGAATTACTTGAAGTACATTCTCAACAATTCTCCCTTAGACTTGGCTTTGGATTTCTGGACCTTTGTGCCTGTACTGTGCTGAAAAACTTTACAGGTGTATCCGGAGCAATAAGCCAGTCACGATCCTCTCAGTCATAACTCATCCCTCAGATGTTCTGGAAATCCGAATGTTCAAAGAAAATTTTAAAGCAAGACCTGGACAGGTGAGTCAGTGGTCGGCAACTTATAAAAGGTTCCTTTATAATTAAAAAAAAAAATTGACAGGCATAAATAACATCATTGTTATAGGTGATTTTCTTTCTCAGTCGTTTAAAATAAATTTTTTCCCTTTTAGTATATCATCCTACACTGTCCCAGTGTGTCTGCATTAGAAAATCATCCATTTACCCTCACAATGGTAAGAGAGTTGGTTCTTGATGTTTTACAAAATTTTGAATGCGGTTTTTATTTTTTTTTTGCGTCACATTCATAAAATCATTCTTTGCTACTATAGCCATAATGGCTAAGTAAGCTATCTTTTTTATACATAAAATTATTTATCTGTTTCGAACATTTTAGATTATGCATTCTTATGAGTTCACAACTTCGCTACTATGTTTCATTGTTTTTAATGACAGTTTTCTACAATAGAAAAATATTAGATTTATTTAATATTCTCACTCATGGCAATATGTGGGCTTTGTTCAGTTTCTAGCAGCAGTTTGAGAATGCATGTATGGTAAGAGGTCAGAAAAAATGATATTAAAATGTTGATATTTAGGGGTGATGTCCTTAGAATGGTAGTGATTTTCAGATTAAAGACATTAGTCCAGTTGAACATTTGGAAAGTTTGGGCAAGTTACTTTATCTTTTTGTGTGTTTGGTTCTTGGGTATAATTAAAAGGTAAAAACTGCTCCTATTCATTAATTTGTTGTGGGTTTAAGTGAGCTACTGCAGATAAAGCATCCTAAACAATACCTGGCGCTTAGAAAATATAGGAAAATGTAAATATGTGGCAACAATTGTTACGACTTTTATTTTCAATCTGAGTTTGCTGTTTGAAACAGATACCTGTCAAGACAGCTAAATCAGGAGAAAGCTTTATTTTTGTGAGTCAGAAAGAAAATGTTAGATGGTTATAGAAAATTCAGAAAGCATTCAATAGAATTTCTTTATAAATGAGCAAAAAAACTACTTTTGCTTCATGTATTCTAAAACTTAGCAAACTTGTTTATTAATAATTAAGAAAAAGTGCTGTGGCTTCCAGTGAAATAATTAGCAGCATCCTGTTTTATTACGAAAGATGGCAGTGCTGATCTTCCCTGGGACAGAGTTCATTTATAATTGCTTGTTGGTAGTGATGACTGATGAATCTAAACATCCTTTCATCTGGTGCTGTGTTCTGTGGCTGGCCAGACTATGCATAGAATTGAACAATGGAAGCTTAAAGCCTTTTGGACACAGCTCTCATCAGCAGCCAAGTAGCAATGTCATGCCCACTGTTCTTTCAAGATTGCTAACATGATCGAGGAGGACATCCTATCATTTTGCTTCTTGTTACAGTTGTAAGATTTGTTTCTATCTCTTCCATCATATATCCTAAACCTGAATCTGGTGACCAGAAAAAAGAACCGAAAAGTAAGATTAGACAAGGAAGTTTGCCTCTTAAGAAAAGTCACGTAATCTTATAATTGTAAGAAACTTAAATGTTGACATTGTATTTTAAAGATTGTTTCTTCACCATGGGTTTAAATGATTAGAAAGAGATTTTTAAAAATTCTACTGAATTTTTCCTTAAACTAAGTGATGTCCCTTAGGTACATCAAGCTTCAGAGCTGTCTCTAACTTGGGAAGGTAAAGCCAGAGAAAAGGGACCATTACAAGGATTTAGAAGAAATGCTTCCTGGTGAGGTGGCACTCAGATATAGTTGACCTTCAAGTCACACTCTGAGTCAGATGTTTGAGATCCTCTGCCTGTTTCTTCCTAGCAGAGAAAAGGAAGAAGAAATGGGCCTCTGTCTGAAGTAGCTGGGGAAAAAACTGCCAAAGACAACTCTGCACAATTTGTGTGTTATATCTGGTTTGAGAAAAGAAGTGATTTTTTTTTACACCCTGTCTCCCATTATCCCACTCTCAGTACTAACACTAATATAAAATTACTTTTTGGACAAAAGTTACTGATATTTCTCAGATTTGCGTAATAACCTCCAGATGACACACAAATTAAATCTACAGTTGATGTTTTGTATTTACATTCATCATTTTAAATATTTTTGTTTATTTATATCTTAATGAACCATAAATCAAGGTACAATTTTAAAAGCATATAAACATATTAAGCTGTTAGTAATGGTTTCCAAAACAATATTTTAAAGTAAAGCAAATTATTTTTGTCAGGCCATTTGTTTTCCATTCTGTATGTAAGTTTAGGAAATGGCTTGTAGTCTTCAAAGATTTGGGAGTATAGTTGGTTCACTATACTGTACCCCCCCAAGGAGTTCCTGGTTTTATATTTGCAAAAACAAGTAAATCTTTTTTTTTTAAAGATTTATTTTTAATTTTTATTGGAAAGGCGGACATACAGAGAGGAGAGACAGAGAGGAAGATCTTCTGTCCTATGATTCATTCCCCAGGCGGCTGCAACAGCTGGAGCTGAGCCAATCCGAAGCCAGGAGCCTCTTCTGGGTCTCCCACGTGGGTGCAGGGTCCCAAAGCTTTGGGCTGTCCTCACCTGCTTTCCCAGGCCACAGGCAGGGAGCTGAATGGGAAGCGGGGCTGCCGGGATTAGAACCTTAGAACCGGCACCCATATGGGATCCTGGGCGTGCAAGGCGAGGACCTTAACCATTGCGCTATCTCGCCGGGCCCAAGTAAATCTTGTTATTACATTGAAATGGATTTGAGTAAAACCAATTATTTTAAACTCAATTTTACATTATGTTGTTATGTAAATTACTATCTTATCATTTCCTTTTCGTCCTACTATTTTTTTTTCTTAAAGATTTGTTTATTTTTATTGGAAAATCAGATACACAGAGAAGAGGAGAGACAGCAGGATCTTCTGTCTGCTTATTCACTCCCCAAGTGGCCACAATGGCTGGAGCTGAGTCCCTCCAAAGCCAGGAACTTCTGGGTCTCTCATGTGGGTTCAGAGTCCCAGGGCTTTTGGGCCATCCTCGACTGCTTTCCCAGGTCACAAGCAGGGAGCTGGATGGCAATTACGGCTGCCTGGATTAGAACGGGCACCCATATGGGATCCTGGCATATTCAAGGTGAGGACTTTAACCACTAGTCTATAGTACTGGGCCCAGTATTGCTACTTTTACTTGACACTTGTATGCGGAATGCATGCTTTTAAACATGTTTTTATTTCACATCCATGAAGGGTTCCTTTGAAGTAAAAATTTTCAAATCAACTTCCCAGAAGGTGATCCTCACTATAGAGCATTTGTATATCTTATCTTTGTTGAGGGTAATAATCCTGAGTAACTAAGTACCTAAGAAATTCTTTCATAATCTTTGCAGCTATTGTGTTATTTAACTTGTACTGCATTCCTGTGAGGCAAGTATTGCTAACTGTATCTGATGCAGAAAGTAATATGGCCCAGGGAAATTTAATAACTATGCCCAAATCACACAGCTCGTTGCTTATGGAGTTGAGAAGCAGACACAGCACTGCCTGGCTGCAAGGCGTGTTACCTGCTGTTGTGAGCCGCTTCGGTCTTGCTTCTCTCCCTGTTGATGTCTAGTGATTTCCTGTTGCTTACCTATTACTTTCGAACTTTCATGATTTTGGAGTTATAAAAACAAAAGATATATATATATGTATATTTAAGAGAGAGCTATATTGAAAATAAAAATGTCTTTTTAAGGGAAATATTTAATAAATTAATAAAATAAATTTAATAAATTGATAAATATTTAATAAATTAAAATATAAAATTACATTCTTGAGAGAGACAGACAATAGTATAGATAATGCATACTACTAACCTTTTCTATTATTGTGCAGAGGTGAAAGATCACATGAATTCACCTGCTTGAAAACTCTAATAATAACTTTCATGTATTATGCCAGAGTTGCAATCAAATCTATGGATACAGTTGTCACAAATTTTTGAAATGCAGGTTAAGCCTTTGAAAATGAAAACACATCCTCCAAATACAAAAGATAAGGCGCAGAAATGCTGTGCAAAGAATAACTAAGCTTTCGCCCTTGATTTGTGAGGAATCCAAATTTGGAATTTGGTTACTTCAGATGCTTTGATATTTCCTGTCATGACATCACCCTTTCCACACAAGGGAGATGCACTGACTTAGTGGGTTTCCCCAGGAAGTCGTAATTGTTTTCTGCTGTGTACCAAATTTATCTCAAGGCTGAGTCTCAATACATGGTTGCAGACCACAAGATTGACAGAAATCAGAGGGCATTGTGTATTATTAGACTGTGAACTTCGGAATTCAGCTTCCTGAAGCCGACCTGGAGCCCCTAATTATGAGTAGAATAGCTTACACATGAGAATTAAGGGGCTTAGTTTATTTCCTTATAATGGCAAATTCTCTGCAGTCATTCCAAATGTTAAGTATTCATTGAATTATTTTCTGGTAATGACTTAGGGACCAAGGCATGGATGTAACTAATTTTTGCCTCATTTTGCAGTAAACTGTGGCCATGGACTGGTTTAGATGCAGAGCTTGGGGGAAACTCATAATTTACCTCTTACAATTTACCAGTCTTTATCATGAATAAGGTATTAGTTGAGCTTTTTTGGAAACTAAATGAAAGTACACATGTGCATGTTGGACATTTGCTAAAACTATACCAGCAAAACACAACGTTTAGTAATGGTTGAGGCACTGAGACATCAGGTAGAACTTGGTGCTGTAGTAACCATGGAAGCCTCAGAAGATTGGACAGGAGCTGTATTGTTGAGATGATCATTGAAAGCTATCATGTTATCTTGTTTTAAAATAATGTCTTATTTTAATGTAAAAGGCATAATTTTTTTTTTTTTATCCCTCGAGTGACCAGTCCTTGCAATTGAGATGCCTCCCAAGAGGTACATTTACGCGTAGGCCAGGAATCCTTCCTCTGCAGGGGGAGTTGGAAGAGCTCTCTTAGTGACTCCTTAGCCAGAAGCACTCTGAGCTGCTCATGTGTGGTGAATTAATGTTCTGGTCCTGGAAATGTGAAGAAGAGGTGTAAGCATGGAATCTGAACAACCCACTGCATTCTCCATTACAAGTAGCATTTTGGAAACATATAACTTGTGTGAAGTAACTCTACTTTTTAAAATTTAAAATTAAATTTGAGACAGCTTTGATTCATTGACTTACACATTTGTATTTCCAATCACAAATTCTGTCTGTTAGGACGAGAGCAAATAGTTAAGTCATCAAGGGATATGATTGATGGCAAAGTTGGGGTCAGAATCCAAGTGTGCTGGATTTTCTTCTTTAAATGTGTGTAGGCTTTATTACAAAATGCTTGTTGACTTAAAAATTGTACAGAATTTTGCATTTTATTCTTATCTATGTAATAAATGCCTACTAGTTCTCCCCACGTTGTGATCTACACTTGCCAGGTTTTAGATTTTCTTCTAATAAGGTATGCTCTCACCTAACTTATATGTATGAATAATTGATGAAGAGAGCATGGGACCTATTTATAGTGCTTACTATAAAACATAGCATCTTTTCCTATTTAGCTTGACGTATTTTTCATTAATATTTTCATGGCTTTCAATCATAGAAATACTTAATAGTAGAATTGACTGAAGTCTACATGAACCCTCTCTTATTTTTTCTATTCAGAAACAAGCAACTGTTTTTAATATTGACAGTCAATGTTGTATGACTCCTTATTTTTAAGCTTGGATAGCCCGATTTCACATATTTTTTCCATGAGCCAGAGGCAAGTCTCACTGTGAATTTGTTATTGTTCTAAGTTTTTAACTGTTAAAAATCTCCTTTAATCGTGACAGATTCTGTGTTTCGGGCTCATTTTCTCCTCCCATACTTTAGAAAATCCCTGATTTGTGAAAGTATTTGAGCTCCTGATACAGACTCTGAAACTTTTTAGAATTTTAATCAATGTTTGTAGAGTATATGAATAATTCATATCAGAAGTTATTATTTATTTTCAGGTTAATTTTCCAACGTATTTAACTGACAGTTATTATCCTGGTCTGATATACATGTAACATACTCTGGAATATATAACAATTTAGAATTAAATGTATATATGTGTATACACAAACAAATATATATATTTGTTTGCAGAGAAAGGGAAACAGGCAACAGACAGACACTAGTTCACCTCCCAAATGCCAATTGTCATTTTGATATGGAATTTTTGCATGGTAGATGGTTACTTAACTCACTTCACCGCAGCACAAAAAATATGGAACACATTGTAAATTTCTGTGTCATCCTTGCACAGTTACGGTTATGTGCTGCCAAAACAAGCACTCGGAACAGTTGTTGAGCTGTAGAGTTTGAGTTTATAAACATACAGGAAAATACAGAAAAGTAAAGAGGAAGATCATAATAAGACATGGTAATAAAAGTCAGAAAGTTCCATCAGGGTTCAGGGAAATGAACAGTGTTCTTGCAGGGAAAATGAGGAGATTTAAAATACTGGTACTTGGCAGGAGCCTTGAAGAGTTGCTAGGGAAAGCAAGAGAAGTGGAAATGAAGTTATCCTAAGTAAATAGACGAGTAACTGAAGAAATCCACCTATGTAGAAGACCTCAGTTATTTTCTGGTCTCTTGACTTCATCCTGCCCAAGCACTTGCTGTGGAGAGTGTTCCTGCAGAGTGAACCTGTGAGTGGAAGATGTCTTTCTCTCCGTGTATGTATGTGTGTGTCTCTGCCGTTCTGCCTTTCAAATAAAAACAATAAGAGCAACTTTAAAATATAGGGAGAAAGGACTGCTGTTTTGGCATAGAGGGAAGCCATTGACAGTGATGTATTCCATGAAGAACCTCTTCAGTTACGAAGTGATATTCTCAGATAAAGACTGTCGATTCCAGCCAACTTTAGAGATTTTATCAGTGAGTTGTAAAGGCATAATTCCCCCAAGGTTAAAAGAAACAATGTTGTATTTTTTTGCTTTCAAGAGCAGACCAGCCTTTGAAGTTGTACATCCCACCAGCATATGAGGGAGAGGTTTACAAGTAGCCTGTAAGAACAAGGGGATGCTAAGTATTATATACAGTTGCTTTTTACAAGGCCTGCAAGGAAGATTGAAAAAGAGATACAAATATTTACAGACTGTGTGTTTTCATATAGAATGCATTATGAGTTTAAATCAAGTGGCACACTCAGGCACACAATGCCAAGTTAATTTTGCTTCCTATTCTGATATATTTTTTACTTAGATAATTTCATAGCCTAAGAGCTAGTTCACAATGCCAAATAATATGCAGCATGTGGACAATCGTAGCACATAACTGTTGATCTTGCTTTCTATGAGCTACAAATTTTTTTAAGGTTAATTTTTATTGGACAGTCAGATATACACAGAACAGGAGAGACAGAGAGGATGGCGTTCCATCCATTGATTCACTCCCCGCATGGCCGCAATAGCCAGAGGTGAGCCAATCCAAAGCCAGAAGCCAAGATCCTCCTCTGTGTCCTGATGTGGGTACTCACTCCCAAGGTTTTAGGCCGTCCTCAACTGGTTACTCAGGCCACAAGCAGGGAGCTAGGTGGGAAGTGGAGCTGACGGGATTAGAACTGGCACACACATGGGATCCTGATATGTATGAGTCGAGTAATTTAGCCACTAGGCTACTACGCTGGGCCCTGTGAGCTATAACTTTTATTACATGGACAGTATGGCCAGCTTTTACTTGAAGAAAGTAAAAATGGATGATTTTTATAGATGATAAGTTCTTATTTGGGATTAATGCCAAATCTGGTTGCTGCAGGATTTAGTGGGAACTGACATATAAATGAAAATAAACACACAATAACAGTTTTACCAGATGAACACCCATGATCCAAAAATGCAAAACTCAGAGAGGTTCCAAATTTCGATCATGGTTAGCATGGACATGATGCCACATAGGAAAGTTGCACACCTGACCTCCTGTGCTAGGTCACAGTCAAAACACATACTAATAATATTATATAAAACTATCTTCACGCTATCATTATGACATGTAAATGGAACATGAATGAATTTCTATTTGGTCTTTGGTCCTATCATCAATAGACTATCTCATGTATATATTTCCCAAATGTTAAATATTTCCAGTTCTAGATTTTTTGGGTAGCAGATAGCTAGACTACAAATGAAATTTAAATATATGTATCTTAATATAATATAATATAATATAATATTATATAATATGATTTTATTTATTTAACTTCAAATTCAGAATGACAGAGAGAGAAGGAGTGAGAACAGCTGAATATCTGGCGTCTACTCGTTCATTTCCCAAATGACAAAAAAAGCCATATCTGAGCTGATCCCTTCAGATCCACAAACTTTTTTCAGGTACCCCACGTAGGTACAAAGGCCCAAAGACTTGAGATATCCTCTGCTGCTTTCCCAGGCCATAAGCAAGATACTTGTTTTGGAAGGGTAACAGACAACACTTGAAGAGGCGCCCATAGGGATACCAGCGCGATAATCCAAAGATTCGCATTCAATACCACCATACCAGCTCCCAATTTTGTATATTTAAATATTTAGAAAATACTTAACATTATCCATTTCTAAATGTTTCATTTATTTTAATATTTTCTATATTGTCGTTAGCAGTAATAATGTTATCAAAAACTGACAGTGGTAGAACAGATTGGAAATTCTGTATTGAATTAATCTCCAAACATAAATAAATGTAATGTGCTTTTAATTTGCTTATAATTATGAGAAAAATTTTTAGCACCTACTTTTTTTTTCAAAGATTTATTTATTTTTATTGCAAGATCATGTGTACAGAAAGAAGGAGGGACAGAGAGAAAGATCTGCTGATGTTTCATTCTCTAAGCAGCTGCAACGGCCAGAACTGAACCAATCTGAAGCCAGGATCCCGGAGCCTCTTCAAGGTCTCCCATGCAGGTGCAGGGTCCCGAGGCTTTGGGCCATCATTGACTGCTTTCCCAGGCCACAAGCAGGAAGCTGGATGGGATGCAGGGTGTTGGGATTAGAACCTGTGCCTATATGGGATCCTAGCATGTGTTCAAGGCGAGTGCTTTAGCCACTAGGCTACCATGCCTGGCCCAGCACCTATCTTTTTATTTAGACTTCTTTAAAGCTACTTTTAATAAGTTGTAAACACGTGATATCCTTCATCTTCCATTATCTCCGCTTCCTATAGCATCATTGTATTATCTCTGTTAGTCAACACAGTGAACTCTAGGGTTTTTTTTTTTTTTTTTAAAGCTTTATTTAGTTGAAAGGGAGATTAACAAAGAGAGAGGAAATACAAACAGAGCAATCTTCCACTTGTTAACTCCCCAAAAAGGCTACAGTGGTGAAGCTGGGCCAGGCTGAAGCCTGAAGGCAGCACATACGTTGAGATGCCCAAGCTTTTAGAACATTCTCAGCTGCTTTATTCTGCTTTCCCAGCTCAGGAGCCAGATCAGAAGTTGAGCAGCCAGGACACAAACTGGCAGCAGATTTATCCACAAGGCTGCAGTGTCATTTTGAATGATAAGGTCTTGGACTTGCTTTATCTCCCCCGTTTTCATTTTGTTCCACTTGTATCTAAACGTTACCCTCTAACTCCTCTTAACTCATATGATTGCTCACAGATCCCATTCATCTTCGACAAATGCCATTTTGCCCCTCTACCCATTTGATTTTTTAATACAATCCTCAGACATTTTCTGTATATTTTCTCTAATTGAAATCGTGGTCTGCTTTGGCTGAGCACTGTATACTCTAATGGAGCCATAGCAGAATCATGTCAGGTCTTTCCACTGGTTGTATGTTCTTAGGCGAGTTAACACATTCACAAGGCAACTGATTTGCTCTACTCTGCAACATTTTATGAATTTTGGAAATAAGTGCTTAGTACTGTCCTTGGCATATGTTAGATGATAAATGATGTTTGTTGATAGATAGATAGTCCCTTTCTCATCCTCCTCAGGTAAGATGTATTTCAAAATTCACAAATCTGTTGACTTGAAAAAATGTGCACATCCCGTCCATTCTATAATATGTCCACAGCAATATTCTCAATTGTATGAATCAATATTAATATTGTAGTATTAATGTTGTAGTATTAATTGAATAAATAATATTAATTCTTAATATTTAAATGGTGGAATGATCTAAAAATATCAGATATTCTTAAACCAACAGAATTTATTGTTACATTTTTTTTAGTGTCCTACGGAAACAAAAGCAACATTTGGGGTCCATCTTAAAATAGTAGGAGACTGGACAGGTATGTAGAGCGTTGGAGTTTAAGATGTATGTGTAGGAAATAATAGATGTAAAAACACACTAAGCTTGTAAAAATGAAATATGTGAAAGGCGTTCATGTTATATAAAGTAAGTAAGTCATATAAATCAATACATATTAATTTGAATGGGTTTAAATAGTATAACTATCAGTGTGTGAAGATAAGTATATGTTTCAAGATTTTCTTTTCTCTTTTGTAACCTATACTATGCTAATATTTGTATTTTCTTCTTATAAAGATGCATTTTTGATACTAAAGAGTATCAGATATCAGTAATTATGTTCTTTGGAATGGTGGAGATTTTTATTAACAAGTCTGTTGTTGATGCTTTACTCACTTATTTAGTATTTTGGTTATTTGAAATGTGCATTTTATCAAAAGTTTGGAGCAATAAAAGAAGCATAGTTTATGCTTAGGATCAACCGGAATAACTAACAAGTATGTGCTCAGGAAATGCCATCTTTTTCTTTTAAGATTTATTTATTTTTATTGGAAAGTCAGATATACAGAGAGGAGGAGAGACAGAGAGGAAGATCATCCACCCATTGATTCACTCCCTAACTGACCATAACAGTCAGAGCTAAGCATATTTGAAGCTAGGAGCCTCTACCAGGTCTCCCACACAGGTACAGGATCCCAAGGCCCTGGGCTGTCCTCTACTGCTTTCCCAGACCACAGGCAGGGAGCTGGGTTGGAAGTAGGGATACAAGGATTAGAACCTGTGACCATATGGGATCCTGGCGTATGCAAGGCGAGGACATTAGCTCCAAGGCTGGGCCCCGTACGTGTTATCTTACTGATTCCTTATGTAGATTGTTTGATAGAAAGGCTGCAAATATAAATACAATCATCATATATGTTAATGTATTTTCACACTTAAGTATTATACAATGAAAAAATATGTACATAATTATAGTGAAACTCATAGCATCCTCAAAAATACACAAAGGTACTTATTAATCCATTTGAAAGAATGACTCAGTCAGCCTTTCACCATTCCAGTGAGAGGAAAATCAGCAAAACTAAAGCAGACTGTACTTGGCCGATAGTTAATAAAGGCATTTGAGTTTAGCTTGGTGAAAATCGTGACTACCTCAATAAGATGTTAGAATAATCTGGAGATTTAAGGGATCATTTAGAGAATTTGAGGCATGATGATGAAAATGGCATGATTTAATTTGGCTGAGTGGATTTCTATAAAAAAAAGTTTGGTAGTACTTGGAGGCAAAGGGGAAAACATGGTAGTGGATAGATGTGGGGACTGGAAGAAATAGATCTGTGGGTACAAGAAGTTGGCATTGCAAAGGAGAACTGATTCCTGTAAAAAAAAAAGTGGAGAAGAATTAGATGTTGGGTAATAAAGAAATATGAGATGAGACGAATATAGTGGAAATCAGGTGCTCATGTCATTTAGATTTAAGATGTAGTTCTAAGTTACAAATCTGTGTCTTTAAAGGATAGTCAGTTTGGAATGGAAGACTTGAGAAAATATGTAACTTGGATTTAATAGGCAAATAACTAAGTGATTCAAAAATATCTTTATGCAGTAATAAGCCATTTAGAAGAATAATAGGCTTAAATAAAATTCATACGGTAGCCTTCAAAGAAGCTGATAACCAATTTCTGTAAAATCAAAAATTTGGTACACTATGACATATTTCAGAATATGCCCAGAATGAGTGTAAATGAAGTTGACTGTGTTACAATGATTGGGAAATAAGTAAAAAGGAAGTACTTTTCAAGGAAAATTTCCAGTATGGTAGGAATTAAGCTCAGAAAGGAATGTTAATTGATAGAATCATTGTCTAAAGTAAGACAAGCACAATGAAGAAAGAATTTAATTCATAAGGTTAAGCAGAAACTTCTTGAATGCTTATTACTACCCATCATTACTGACTTAAAAGTTTCAGTTATTTTGTATTACTACTAGCCCAATAATTGCTTTTGATCATATTTGTTAGGACCATTTAGTAATATTAATTTTAACGTCTCTCTTTTTTTTAATGTGCTGTGGTCACTCAAAGAGAAATGGGATCTTTTTGTTCGCAGAATTCAGTTCCTGTCAGTTGCTTTTCAGTTAATAGAATTTCTTTTTTGTTGACTTTAAATGTATATTGGTTTGGGAAAAAATGTAAAGCATTTGTAAAGAGAACCTTTAAATGACTCTTTCCTAGCTGACATTTTCATTCAAAAAGAGATTGAGTTGCCAAAAATGAATTACAGTTATTGAAGGAAACTTGGGAACATTGCTCCTGATATCAAGGGTCAGCATTTCATGTTGTAACAAATGAATGAACACTCAGCATTAAATTGAGTGTAGCTGTAAGACTAGGTGATTCTTAGTTTGAATTGATTTTTCTAAATTGACTTAGTGGTATTTAACAGTGACCTTTTCTTCACTGAAATATATTCTCCTGGAGCCAATGTGCAGAGTAGGACTGAACGACAGGCTTCAGACTGCTCCATAAATAAGGTTTCTGAAATCAAACAACTACAGCTACCTGGATATATTTGTATTGCTCAGAATAAGGAGACATTGGATTTTCTTATGTGTTGGCCAGCTTTTTGTTCAACAGCTCTCTAATTACATCTCAATATCTAGGAGATGCATCAAAAAGGCTCCTGGAATCTCTTTAGCATCATTCAAGATTTTCCTTAATTTATGAAGTAGATGATGAGGTAGATTTGTATTCTCATTAAGTAAATGTTTTTGTTGATTTTGATGACTAATTTCAAACATGACCTCAGAATACCTATGAGATTACCAGTTTAAAAATCCAAAATTGTCTGGTTAATTTCTTCCTTCACTATGATCGCCAATGAGTAATGTCTGAGATTATTTTCTCTTGGTTGTTTTTGTGATCTAAATAGCAGCTTGTTACTGACAGGTTTGAGTTTCACTGCAAATATATTATATTCATAATATTCACATGTAATTAATTTAATATTATTGCCATGATCCATCAAATAGCTAATGAATGGCCACATGGCATTATCACATGGCAGCTTTTCCTTGAATTTTGGGTTTAACTTTCCATAGGTCTATTGGATAATTTCCTGAAATTGAAAAACATGATTAACTTTAGGGGTTGAAAGAGGGATAGTAGAGTCATATAACAGCGTGGATTTGCACCAATAATATATTAATTATTAACAGTGCATGTAAACTTAGCTACTACTTTATTTAATAATTGCATCTAAAAATGTGAAAAGTGTGTTTTCATTTCATTAATACCATGTTTCAGATTTTATCCAGCTATTTTACAAGAGAAGATTTTTTTAAAAAGTGTATGCTTTTTTTTTTTTTTTTACTTTGGAAAACTCTAAGTTAAACAGATTATGAGTTGCATTTTAGGATAACACCAAAGTTTAAGCCAATTGTGTCATTTGTTTTATATCAGACATAAGTATAACATGAACAGCCTTTTGTTTGCTGCACGGAAACAAAAACATTCTTATTGAAACTGAGTCCATCTTGAAGGACATGACAAAAGAGGAGATTCCAAATGAGTTTGGAGTAAGCTGACTTCTTGGAACATCACAAATCAGATTTGGTGATAAAAAATTTCATAGGTTTTGCTAACTTGTGTTCATACAGTTTTAAACTAAACCATAGAAAATGGAAAATGGTATCAACTACTATTTCCAGAAAGGATTGGCTATTTATTTTGGTTGCCATGACCAGTAAACTTTAGTAGTCAGTCATGTGATAAGTGATAGAAATTATAAAAATAAAGGACTGAGAATAATGAAGGATGATGGTGCTTTTTAATTACAGTCTTTTCACCAGACATATTTGTAAGGTGAGGTAATCAACTGAATAGGCTCTTAGGAGGAAGTGACTTAAAATGTAGTAAATGGAAAATGCTAAACCCCAGAGTTTGGGAATTCAAAGAATAGCAAGGAATTCATTGTCAGTGCCATATGGACAAGGGAGTGGTGGGGTGGAGAGTGAAAATGGAATCCAACAGGTGAGCAGGGATTACTATGTATGTGTTACAGGAAGTCATGGTTGTTAACAGACTTGGTTCTGATGTCTGCATCTGAAAGACTATCAATTTTGTTCTAATATTTATCACCTAGAGAGTATTAAGCTGTGTTTATAGGAATAGATAAGGATTTGGAGTATTGCATAGGCCATATGTTTTTGAACGCAAAGGGTATTTGATCATTTTAAAGGTGGTGACTCTACCTCCTACCATGTGACCCTGGGCTCATGGTCTGTATTACACTCACCAGACCCTCTGTCCTCTCAGTTGGTACAGTTGTTTATACATTCATGTGACTCTTTGGCTCAATTTAGCTCACAATATTCTCCTCACCTAAACATGTATTGAATTCCTTCCATTTAAAATATGTAAAATCATATGGGTTTGTTGATGTTGTTTTGTTGCTTTTGAACTTTTACAGTCATTAAGCAGAGTTCTTTGGGCAGAGCACTGAGTGGTCAGGCGTAATGCATGAGGGACTCACATCTTAGGCAGAGATGAAAGGAAGTGCCAAAATCAAGAAGTCAAATACTGCATGCTCAAGAACCAGAAAGAAGTACTGGTTCTTTTCACTAAGTGTATTGGTTTCCAATTGCATCTGTTGTTTGATAAGATGTTTTTGGTTTTGCTTTGATTTGGTTTAGATTTTTAATGATTCCGTAATCTGTATACACCATGTTTTGTCAAATCATTAGTTATCATGAGTTGAGCTGCTGTGTACATTAGAGAACAGACAACTGTTTCATCTGCATTTCACTTCCTTTGGGTAAATTTCCAGAAGTGGAATGGCCATGTCATATGGTTGATGTGCATTCAAATTTTACCAGACACGCCATGCTCTGCTTGTGTTGGTTTATACTCCCACCAACAGTGTATTTGTGTCACTTTTTGCATAATGTTTGTGTTCCACCCATTGATATTTGTGTATCTAGTAGGTCAATTATTATTATTATTATTTTTTACTTTCAAAGGCTATTTTTCATAGTTTACAT